CTGATTAATTTCACTGTATGATCGGAAATTAGATATGAATTATTTTTGTTACTATTTCTCGTGAGTCTTTTATGCATTTAAACAAAAGAAGCAACAGTTTGTGCTTATCACAGTTCAACTGATGAATTTTCAAATTGTTGTCTTCCTTTGGAAAAAAAAGATGGTTGATAACATTTAAAACATTGCACATTCACCTGAAATGACAATCAACAGCACTGCCCATGGTTTGCTGTACCACAAATTATTCCTGCTCATAACAATTAATTGTAGATGTGGAACATGATAATGCTGATGGTGATAAACACTTCAGACATCGGCAATAATTAATTATGTAAGTAAGTAAAGTATAAAAACTCTGGTCACATACAAGTAGATAATCTGAAACTCAAACAAACAGAAAGATACAAGTATTTGGGTACAAACTTCCACTGCTCTAACATGCTCAGAGAAGAAATACAATCAAGAATACAATCTGGAAATAAAGTATACTATGCCCTACAGTTTCTGTTTTAAATCAAAAGCTGTATCTCATAACACCATGATAAGACCTGTTGTCTTGTATGGCTCTGAAACCTGAGCACAGTTAAAAGAGATGAAGCCATGTTACAAACAGGCAGGCTTATTGGTTTTAGTTGTGGCAAGTTTTTGCTTCTGACAAAGGTTAGCTGTTTCATTTTCCTGTGTATGTGGACTGAGAGTAAATAGTTCCATCACCCAGTGATTGTGTTGAGTGCAACCCTATGAGCTGCAAATGTCAATTAAAGTACTTATCGGGTTTGCCTAACATGGTGTGTGTTGTGAACTGCAGGGTTAAGAAAATGGTGAATCGCCTATTGCCAAAGTAGTGGTGGTGATTTATGCAATTAATTGAGTGTGCAACTACTGATTTGTTGTAACTGCTGCTTTTGTCAATGATGAACTACACTTCTAGTGCCAGATTGTTTATGTTAACATTGTGTATGACTGCCTTATGCATGTATGTGCTGCTGGCTTTGCCAGAATTGCAGCCTGTGTAAATTATTTCACAAGGGACAATGATAGACATTCTTGGTGGGGGGGAGGGGCACAGTAATGGAACAACTGTGGGGTGACTTGTTTGCTGTGAAGTAGGAACTGTGATTACTTGATGTTGGGTAATTTTACAGTTTTTTTTTTTCCCAGCTATGTTATCTTTTATAGTCTTTGTCCAGTTTATTAGATATTTGTCAAAATTTATGTGAACAGTTTAATTATCACAAATGAACTGTACGGCACCATTTATATTATCACTAAATCACTGCATACAATAAACCACTTTTAATTAACAGTTAGTCTACCTATTTTGTATCCTTTACATTTATTTGTAAAGTTAGTTCATTATTTAGTTTCTTACATTGATGAAAATGAAATCAGAACATGGTAAATGATTACCGAAAGTGAAATCAGAACATGGTAAATGATTACCGAAAGTGAAATCAGAACATGGTAAATGATTACTGAAAGTGAAATCAGAACATGGTAAATGATTACCGAAAGTGAAATCAGAACATGGTAAATGATTACCAAAAGTGAAACCAGAACATGGTAAATGATTACCGAAAGTGAAATCAGAACATGGTAAATGATTACCGAAAGTGAAATCAGAACATGGTAAATGATTACCTAAAGTGAAATCAAAACATAAGTATATTATCTGTGTTTCAGTTTGTGGTTGAAAACATATATCCTCATATATCCAAGCCATGCAAGGCAGTGCCTCTATCCACTGAGGCACCCTGGAAACATTGATGAAGAACTGTGATACAGACACTGAACATTGAGACAACACTGATGATGATGATTGTACTAACTTATGGTTCTTTTATCATTTATATCCTAATGGAATACTGGCCTTTAACCAGCTCACACCAAGCTGTGTGTAGACAGGTTCATGACTGATGTAATTGGCAGCTAACAGTGTCTGTGAGATGAGGCAGCCAGCCAGTCTCTCCCCAAGCCTTATTTGCGTTAAAGGACATGCAAGGTTAATTGAGATGCATGCAGTAGCAATGAGTAGGTTGACTTGATGACAATTTGCTGAGGGCCATTGGGAATTAAGGGTAGAAAAAGGAAGGCAAGGTACAGTGGTAATATTCTTTGGTTCCATCATGTGTCTTGGTAAAGCAGATGGCTATGGCTGCAAAAGATACTTTGACTGTCTTCTTCTTCTTCTTAGCGTTCAGTTTAATCAGCTGTAAAATCCAGTGAAAAGTCCTGATATTTCCTCCACTTCTGGACTTGCTCCAGAACTTTAGTTTTGCGCATACATCTGTTTTATAGATCTGGCTTATTTATATTCAAATTGTAGGTTTCTCGCTTCTCAGACAGAAGCACTCTGGCTTAAAAGGAAATGCCCCTAATTAGCTGCCTTTTATGACATGCTTGTTAAGGGGGCAGTGAGCCTACTTCCCCCAAACCCCCTGGAAATGGGGCCCTGGAACCCACATGGGGAACTGGTACAGTAACCTTTGAATTTCAAGAAGGCAGTTAGATAAAAGACTACAAAAGACACTAACTGTTATCTTTGTTGGATCAACATTTGACAATCCTCTTGGCCCACTGCAACACATGTTTGTAGGTTCTAACAGTTTTTATCAACCATCTCCACAAAGATTCAGGGACTACCAGAAGACATGACCCTCCTCAACGATGGGCAAACAACACAAACTTTATAACAGTTCTGCTGGCCTGTGGTTGTCAGATGACAAGGCTACAGGCCTCCATGAAGGCTATTGTGTGACAGATGCCTTCAGCTGATCTATTCAGCTTAGTTTCCAATGGACTTCTAAATGACCAGGCCTGGTTTACACATGAAATGACTAAATGAACTCACACATCCATACAAAAGCAACTAATAAGTTCAGCAAAAGGAAAACAAAGACAACAAGCAAATGTTTAAATGAGCTGCCTAGTTCTTTTTTTTTTTCCTGTAGAGTTAGTGATTATTTGTATCAGCTCAGCAGCATTCACTCACTGTTTAATTTTCAACATGTGCATTTGTGTGTGTGCGCGTGCATGTGTGTGTGTGTGGTAGTTTACTTTCAAAATTGTTGTTAAGTAGCAAAAACCACTCTGCACAGCAGTGTTTCTTCTTCAGAAAAAGGAAAGAAAGCTGTCAATCATGAGAAATTAATAGCTGTATAACAAATCATGGGATATATTTGAAAACGATTATTTATTTAAAAAAAAAAACTTAATTTTGAACTGCTTACTGAGTTGAGAATCAACATCACAGCATTTCAGAAATAGCCATAAATACTTTGTTTTCTGCAGCAAATGTCTAAAGGTGTAGATGTTGACTGTTTTAGTTGCACAATGGTTGTGTTGTACTGTTCCTGTATTGTACTGTGATATGGTTTGTTAAATGCAGCAAATCAAGGTTATGATCTAAACAAAACATTCAATACCACACTTTTTCCATAAAAAGAGACAATTTAATGTTCAATACAATTTATTAAAAACTTCACATGGCATGTCAAACTTTATCTACAGTTAAATACAAATGCCATCACCTATTTTTTTTTTTCAACTTCTCAGAATGCTTGACACCTGGCAATTTACATGCTACTCAACTCTTAACTGAAATTTTATCCTGCATAGTTTCTGCAAACATAACATCACAGTACAGAATTTGACCATATACAACTCTCCAGACCATGCTCTGCAGGGTTTACCAAGTAAAGCAGCAAGCTATCCTTTAGACATCACTGGAGCACCAGTTATATGGTGCTAAAGATGTATTTTAATGGAGTGACAAAGTATGGGTTATGTGAGTTTACCAAGATTTGTGAGAAACAAAACCAGATCGGCATCTTTCTGTCTTTCCAGTCTTCAGTGTTATACTGCACTATGAGGAGGCATGCTACTCACAGCCCATGGCGATGACGAGCCTGACTATCAAGATCCGCCTGTGTTTAAAAAGTTGTCCACAATCATAGCAAGGAATTTCAGGACCGTAGTTGTCTATATTTGTGTTTACTGTTTCATCTCAGACATTCAGCTTCCATCCTTTTTGCAATCATTTCTTTCTTCATTCTCATTCCCTTCCTGATGTGCCCCCTCCACACAATGCACTCCATGGCAGTTTGTTCCTATGAGTCCATGAACCAACCATGTATAAACTATGTTTAGTGCGTGAAGCACAATAACAAAAGTAAAAGTAAACGAAAAAGATCCTTTTCCTCTCAGTGGTATATCGCACATATGATACTAGACTCGTGTGTATAAAGGTGAATCAACCCTCAATGGCTGATGTGGTCAGAATCAGGATATTTTCTAGTACCAATTCAAGACTGCGCCAACCTGGGAACCAAGGTAATTTCATTGTTGTAAATCTGCCCAATGCAGATACAAAACCAAGGTGTTCACACAGCATCTTGTCACTGTGCTATAGGCAACTCCCTTAAAATAAACTCAGGCCACAGGAAATCAGGATTTAGAAACAAGTCCGCATTTAAAAAGACTATCTCTGCACAGAGTGGTACTATGTATTAAAGTAAGTTGTGAATGCATTACAGGACGTCGCAGAACCAACCCTAACATATTTTGGCTGATGTGGTTTTCTAGGCAAGTTTATGTTCAGCAGTTTGTCATTGCTTTTTAAACGGTTACTCTCGATACCACAGTTGAAACCAACACAAGACAGTCTACTGCCGAATTGTCTGCAGCTGAAATCGAACCTGGCATCCCAGCATTACAAAGCGTGTTCACAATGCCTAAGCCACAGACACACTATGTATATAGTATTATAAACAGAATACAAATATATCTGCTAATTTTAAAATAGCTACAATGATGATTTTTTACAGCATTCTCATTATTAGTACCGCTATTAACTTTCATTTATTTCAAAAAATCGACTGACGTAAACATGTATAAAACAGCAATATCAGATTCTGAACATTTTATAATTTGTCCATGTATGCAGACTGTTCAGATGTGCAGAAAACAAAGATGCACTCACGTCCCCACATCTGTATAAATCATTCATCAATAGGATCACCCCATATATTAGTTCGTCTCTCTGAAAAAAAAAGGAAAAAAAAACAATACAAATATGTCACTCTTCTAGTATTAACTTCAGGATCACTCGATTGGTGTTGGCACCTTTTCAGAGGATAGTGTTATACTGTGCCATAGGCAAGCATGGACATCAGATCCCCTGGTGAGTGTGGCCAGCAAAACCCCCTCACGTGGAGAAACATCTTCCACAATCACTGCAGGAAATGTCAGGGCCACTGTTGCTACTGCATGTATTTAATAATTGTTTCTTCTCAGACGCTCAGTTCTCAACCTACCTGCAATCCTTTTCTGCTTTATTCCTATGCCTTTCCTGATATCCCCTTCCATGCAGCACGGTCCATGGCATTTGGTTCCCACAAATCTATCTCAAAATCTGCATCATTCATGTCCTGCTTGTACACATATTTTTTTCATTGCAGAGGCCGACCTCGACATCTTTTGCTAATCTGTAATTTATCACTGCGGATATCCTAAGGGATTCTACCATCCTGTAAGTGTGCCCTTGTCCATCTGAGCCTTCAAAGACTGAGAAAACTTATGATACCTGCTCTTTTCAGTACCTCAAGGTTTTTAATCTTGTCCTGCCACATAATGCCAAGTATTTTTCTCAGGCACTGCAGGTAAAAGCTAAGAGGAAGAATAGGGCCTTGGAAAATTCTATCTCTCACCCTATTGCAAGAAGTCAAGCTATGGGGCTCTGGCCGCATTTGCATTCTGTTTTTTTTCTTTTTGTGTTTGACTAATACATAATATAATTTCTAAACTCCTTGTGACCCATCCTATTATTATACTAGCCCAGTAAACCCCCAATTATTACATTAACTATCCCGTCCAGTATTATTCAGACCCAACCACATATTACTTAGAGTAAGCCAACCACATATTACTTAGAGTAAGCCAACCACATATTACTTAGAGTAAGCCAACCACATATTACTTAGAGTAAGCCAACCACATATTACTTAGAGTAAGCCAACCACAGATTACTTAGAGTAAGCCAACCACAGATTACTTAGAGTAAGCCAACCACAGATTACTTAGAGTAAGCCAACCACATATTACTTAGATTAAGCTAACCACAGATTACTTAGAGTAAGCCAACCACATATTACTTAGAGTAAGCCAACCACATATTACTTAGAGTAAGCCAACCACAGATTACTTAGAGTAAGCCAACCACAGATTACTTAGAGTAAGCCAACCACAGATTACTTAGAGTAAGCCAACCACATATTACTTAGAGTAAGCCAACCACATATTACTTAGAGAAAGCCAACCACAGATTACTTAGAGTAACAGTATCTTAGACTTGAATGAGTAAAAGCAACATCTACTTGGTAATGAAAGAGATACTGAATCTTTGTTTCAAACCAATATTTGAGATCTAAGGTAAATGTGGACCTTATCCATCATGAAACTTACTTGAAGGAGATGCTTGGTATGGTGGTGTAGAGGACCCTAAGCTGCTTCCAGAATCTCCTGACCTTGCATCAGGAAATGGTTTTGGAGGTGTATCCTTGAATGGAGGAAAACCAGAAGCCGGTGGAGGTGCTTTTGAAATCTGATCTTTATATTCTTGTCTGTTGCGACGCCGAAGTTCTTCATAGGTAAGCTGGATCTTGTCCTGAGATGGTGTTTCTGACTCCTTAACTGGAATATTGAATCATATCTATTCAGTACGTACAAAAATTGATAAACATATTGCTGATGAATAATTCCATCTAGCAATGAACTACAAATGAATAAGCAATATTGTTAAAAAAAAATTATATTAATAATAACTGAGTTATTCCGTGACTAATGGACATCTACAGTGACAGGAGTTGTAATGTTATTAATAAACAAACACCTACAGTGGTATGAGTTGTGCTGTGACTAACAAAACAAAAATCTACAGTGACATAAGCTATTCAGTGACTAACAAACAAACATCTACAGTGACAGAGTTGTTCTGTGACTAACAAACAAAAATCTATAGTGACATGAGTTGTTCTGTGACTAATGAACAAATAAACTACAGTGATATGAGTTGTGCTGTGACTAACAAACAAAAATCTACAGTGACATTAGCTGTTAAGTGACTAACAAACAAACATCTACAGTGACAGAGTTGTTCTGTGACTAACAAACAAATATCTATGGTGACATGAGTTGTTCTGTGATTAAGAAACAAGAATCTATAGTGACATGAGTTGTTCTGTGACTAACAAACAAATATCTATAGTGGCATGAGTTGTTCTGTGACTAACAAATATCTATAGTGACATGAGTTGTTCTGTGACTAACAAACAAATATCTATAGTGACATGAGTTGTTCTGTGACTACTTACTTACTTACTTTTTCCTTCCACGTATGCCGCTAAGCGTTGTGGGGAGATGCAAGTTCCTGTCATAAGCAAGGCGGGCAGCATCTGATGTTCTGAGGCCATGCTTTTGGCAGGTTTCGGAGACCCCGTCAATCCACAGTTTCCTTGGTCTTCCTCTTGACTTATATCCTGAGCTTCTTTGGTTGAAAATTTGTGATGTTATTTGATCATTTTTCATCCTGGTTAGATGTCCAAACCATTTCATTCTTTGATGTTCTATGTAGTCTAAACATGGCGTAGTTTTGACAGTGTTTCTAATGTCTATATTCTTTATCCTGTCTAGTCTGGTCTTATTCGCTGCTTTTCTTAGACATTTCATTTCACAGGCTTCTATTTTTTTTTCATGGGTCTTGTTGATTGTCCATGTTTGGCACTGGTAGCAGAGTGTTGGAATGAAGATGGTGTTTATCAATTGTCTTTTGGTCTTCATGTTCTGTGACTAACAAACAAATATCTATAGTGACATAAGTTGTTCTTTGACTAACAAACATCTATAGTGACATAAGTTGTTCTGTGACTAACAAACAAACATCTACTCACCACTGCTGTCTATTGTGGGTCTGAACCTGTCGTCCAAGCCCTCAGGAGTGGAGTAATCATCTTTTATCCTGGGAGAAGAAACACCTGCAGAAGCACCATCCCATGCTGCTGGACTGCAAGCAATATGAAATATGCTTAGATAATATCATCATCATGTTGCAGGTTCTTTGCAGAACGTCGCTATCATTGCGGTCTGCCTAGAAAGAAACTCACTCTCTCGCCAGCTCTCTTGCCTGATGTACTTACATATTCAAGAGGTCACTTATATCCTGTGCCCATCTTCGTGTTGGTCGTCCCCTGCCGCTCTTTCCTGGTACCATGCCTTCTGCTATTATTTTTGTCCAATCCGCTATGGCGCTTAATATGTCCAAAGTATTTTAGCTTCCGAGACAAGATACTTGATGTTCAGATCTTTTAACATGTCAGTATTTCTTCTCTTTTTTGTCAATGGTATTCTGAGATCCTTCTGTAGCATTTCAACTTAAAAGCCACTATTTTCTCTCTTAAGGACTGGGAGATAGTCCACGACTCACATCTGTATGTTGTCACAGGAAGGATGCATGCTCTCAAAATGTTAATTTTGATTTCCTTGCTGGTGTTTAACAATAGACTTTTAATGCTGTTTATTCTTCGCATTGCAATGGCCATCCTCCTTTTTATATCTGTCAAACGGTCTCCATTGCTATTTATTTATTAATCATCGTGATATTTTTCCATTTTCCTTTTATTCACAACTGACTGATCCTATCACTAACAGCTTCAAAATGTATAATACTTTCCAACAACTTTTTCTTGATAACAAATTCTGTCCCTAGTTCATGTTTGTTTTGAGTGTTTTCTCCATGACCTATGATCATTCCATTTTCCTCTATGGTACCCTGTTCTTTCTTGAATTGCTCTTATATTCATTCTGTATTTTGATAACTCACGGGTCAGTTCTTCAGCTTCTCCACTCCAGCTCCATAAAGCGTTCGTACATTCCATGTTCCAAATCTCAAAAGTCCTTTGACGTTCCACGTTCATTGTCCGTTTAAATCCATCCAAAATTGAGGCTTAGATATCTGTTTTTTTAACGAGATAAAGTTTTATGAAAGTGGGGGTGTCGGACCAATGCTTCAACCCCCAACCTGGAGGGCCAGGGTGTCTCTCTTTGTTCTCTGCCCTACAACCTTTCCGGCTTGGGAGGCCCTACTGGTAGCTATGCTACCACCGGCATAGCTCTCAGGGTCATTGAGAAAGGAGGACTGAAGAAAAATAATAACTGTGGTAGATATGTTTGTATACATGTATTTCTTCTTTTTCTGCTGCTGCATCTGCCCTCACAGGGAAGGCTGCTTTTTGGGGGGGCGGGTGGTGGGGAAATGGGGTGGGGGGTGAATGGCAGTGGGTCGATTCATGTCTCCCCCCAAAGGGGGTCTTAGAACTAATTATGGGGTATATGCATTAAACAGATTCATCAGTGCGCTCTTATGTCCTTGAAGATTAAAAAGTAAAAATTTTGTTAACAAATATAAAGATAAAAATGTCACATTTGAAAAGTTGTATTTCTACTACCCATTATTCATACATACCCTGCCTCTGTTTCAGGTAGCCCCTTTGCTTTCCTAATCTGAGCTGCCAGGTTTGAATTAGGTATTTTATCAAGAATTTTCTGCTGGCAAACTGATAAATATGAAAGCTTGCCCAAAAAGTAACCAATACCACCGAGAACTGAAATGTATAAGATAGGGAAAGTAAAATTAAATAAACCAGTCTGTGGATTAAATATTCTTAATCAAAACAATGCTTTCCTGTTGTAAATTTAAATAATGCAGGCACAAACAATGCACTGAACAATTTATTTCTTGGCAAATTTGTTCATTTCTTGTCAGGTAGATTACTACAAAGTTACATCTTAACTCAAATGAAGAACCAAAATGAATACTTTACGCTGAAATACATTCATCATATCTCTTGTTACACTTAACATCTCTTGTTATACTGTACATCTCAACAACAGAAGCTCAAGATAGCCATGTGATTACCATGGAGCTTACACACTTGCCACATGCTCTTTTTGTCTGCACAGCACAGGATTGTCCATTCTAATTGTCATAGTTTATGTAAATTTCTGTAATTGTCTATTCAGTGTGTGGTAAATAACTTGGAAGGCACAAACATTATAACTTGGAAGGCCCAATCATTATCAATTATATGCTTAAAGTCAAGCAAATGACATCATATCAAAGAACTGGATTGTAGGAGTATAGATTGTTAAGATTATTGTAAATGTACTTTTTATATAATTATGATATAATGTGTAATCTTTCTTTGGGAACAATAAAAGTTATCTAGAATACCAATATTCTGTCTAAAGATATATTAATACGTCATATGCAAATCTTTGTTCCTGTGATGCTGTGTTTAATCTTTCCCTGCAGTTCTCAAGAGCTATCTATCCCCAGCATGTTTTTTCCCCGACTGTCATAAGCTTAATGCAGCAGGTCATATATTCACTGAAGAGAGTTCTTTGGGGTTTATTTTTTTGCAATACAGTAAATAATGATTCATATGTTAAAGACTGTTCCATTTATTATAATAGTGCACTGGACTGTAGTATTCCTTCTTCCTGGAGATGACCATAATTTATAATTTCTTACGATCTAATTTTCACCATACTAAGTTAGATATCTGTAAGCTTCTGCAGAAAGTCCTGGTTGTTCATCCATTTGGACTTAGTCTTTTAGGGCCTGAGTTTTGCGTGTACATCCATTTTACTGCTTATCTGTGTGCATTTGGTTTCTCCTTGCCACTCAGGCAAATGCACTCTGACTTCGTAATAAGCCCCCAATTAGTGGACTTCTATGAAATGTTTGTGGAGGAGGCAGAGGGTTTATTCTTGTTTGACCCAAAATGGTGCCCTGGAACCCACATGTACTAATTGTTAGTGATAAATAGTTTTTACAATACAAAGTATTTCAAAAACAAAATATCTTGCTTTTTTTTTATTACATGCAGTTGTCACCAAAAATAAGTAACAGTCAAAGTTTTATTTTTACATTACAATTTCTTACATTGCATGACATATATCTACACAATCATTACAGTGTGGAAATGGTGTGTTGGGGAGTAACAAGGAAATCTGGCCAAAACTCTACACTCAGAGAAAAAGGAAAACAGACATATAATTGAATTGCTACTTGTGCAATCCGATCAGAAACTCTTCCCTGGCTGCTTTAAGTGAGGAAGGCGTGTGTATGGGAATGTCCTAAGAGCTGTAATGCTAATTCCAAACTCAACTCAGCTCTTATCTAAACAACAGTTTTTCTTCAGCTTTATGTACACAGGTTGAACACACTGGTGGAAAAGTTCTGGTTGTTTGTCCACTTCTAGACTTTGATCTTGTTCCAGAAAATGAGTTTTGCATCCACATTGGTTTACCAACATGACTAAGTAGTATGCAGACTGTTGGCTCCTCCCCTCTCAGGCAGATGCACTCTGACTTTAAGGATACACCTCTACTTAGTAGACTTTTACAACATGCTTGCTGGGTAGTGGGGGGCAGTTGGTCTTCTTCTTCACCCAAAAAACGGACTCTGGAACCCATATCAACAGTTCTATCTAAGCTTGCTTCAACAGTTTCCTTGTTTCTCCATTCTCAATATTTGTGCTATCCAGCAGTTGAAAAATAAACAATTTTCTTTTCAATCATCTTACTGCTCAAAGGTGGAGAGTTTGTCTTTTCTTTGATGTAATTCCAACAAAATATGACAGTCAGCAAAACCATATTTTATGTAAACTTTCATGTGCTTGGTGAACAACTTATGATGATAAAGGCTGGCCCAGAATATTTACAAAAATGTGTGTGTGTGTGTGTGTGTGTGTGTCAAACAGCCCCAGCATGTCATCTTTATACATGCTATTGGCAGTGAGCAGTTGTGCTAGATCCATATGTTGTTGTTGTTGTTAGTTTGGATTGGGGGGGGGGGGGGGGGTGGACATGTTTAACCCTGCTGAAAACAGCTTTGGTTATAATTGGAGTCTACTTGTATCTGCACCAAGTTTAATGATTTAAATTGTTTGTTGTGCCAAGAGTTGTGGCTTATTACCCCAGCTGTATAATTTTGTCACTCATAACATGTCTGTGTCCTCCACTTTGGTCCTGTGGTCCTGTGGTCCTGCTCTTGGTGCCAGCACCCATATGTTTAAAACACCAAATGGCACTCAATCAGTGATGTGGTCAACATTATATCAGCCAACTTTAGCTTTCAGGATATGTTCTGGTACTCACTATAAAAAGGGTGGGGGTCGACCTGGGAGCCATATGCCAATTATAAATATCTACCACAATGCAGATTCAAGCGCAAGACCTGAGGGCAAGCAAGCCAATATTTAGCCACTGCGACATCCTGATCTCCCAGCATAACATTCAACAGATGATCCAAACTCGGTGAGAAAAAAGGAATCTGGATCCGCTTCATAACAAACTGTAGAGTTTCAAGTGAAACAAGAAACGCAGAGGACCCTTTTGTACACCCGTAGTGCATCAGGCATGTTTTTATAGACCAATCAGCGCTCAGTGGGTGATGCGGTCAACGTCACGCCTGACAGTTTCAATAACTTCATTAAAAAGCAAAAGAAGTAAATTATAATGTTTACACCAGTGATGTAACAGGCACACGATGGATGCTAGACTTATATTTTACTTACTAACTGGCAGGATACCACCATTACTCACGCATTAAATGTAAGTATTTTATGTCACTTACCAAAGACTTTAGGCAATGATCCATACTTTGGATTGGGACTCCAGTAACCTGAAAATAATGTTTAAAGTTACGTTAAAACATGCAGACATTTGTTGTTCACAAAGAACTCTTCAGAAAAAAAATCACTTGAATAATATGATCTAAGTTATGAAATTATGAGGCAGGGAGGAACTACCTTTCAAACACATACAAAATCTGGAATACATCTTAGAAGGGTACCAGTCACCGAATTCACCCCATGTCACTCGTGCCCGAGACCTTGTGACTATGCCCACAGGCTGTCCTATCTTCGAGGGGTGTCAAGTCTTGCTTGTTTTGAAGGTTTTTTCCACATCCACCACCGACGACAGCCACCGCCAACCAGCGTACAAATACAAAAACATCAATGATTCCATATCCACTCACCGTAGTGCCTTCGGGGCTTCCCCTTACAGTACTTTTTCCACATACACAGACGTACTCACAACAACAACATATTCCAGAAACAACACATGTTTAAACAAAAGACAGTAGCTAAAACAAAGCTGCGCCTTTGTGTCGGATAAATAATGTGTCGACCTCTGTGAATGAATGCCAGTCACTTTTTGCCACGCTGTCTGTGAACAGACACCAAAGAGAGGCATCTCATAACACCCCTAGCAGATAGGACAGCCCAAATGAATGGCCATCAGATCGTGCGCAGGAGCAAAACAGAGTGAATCCATAATTGGTAATTTGCAGTAAACTTCACCTCCATACAAAATTAGATAAAAAAAAAAATATAATTGCTTCTAAATTTGTGACTGAAATAATCTAATCGCTGAGTCGGCAAGCTAATGGACGATTCACAAAGATACCAGATATGACCATATATATATATATTTATATACACACACACACACATATACATATATATGCTAACAGTAATAAATAACATGCAGAGGCACAGCTCCTTATTGCACAATTATTTATAGAAAATGTTGGTGGCAAGTGGAAAAAATAAAGTAAATGCTAAATGTGAGTGGAAAAGACCCATAAAAGACACCTTGAAACAAGAAGCAATTTTTGTTGCACTATTTCATCAAGCTATGGCCTAATGTATCTAATTTTGACAAGCAACTTGTTTGTGTTTGATTTCTGTAGCCTTTGACTGTCCTCAGTTGTGTTCTCTGTGTGATTTTTAGGATGGATTCAGGTTGTGGTGGTGGTGGGCAGACCCACTGTTCATTATTAAGCCTAGCTGCAAACCACAACACAACATGCCAACCACCTTTTTAAGGCAAATGCAAAAGAAGTCTGTCTTCAGTCCACCAACAAGGAAAGGTGGTTTGTGCCTCTCTTTCACTTTTTCTACCCACTGGTCTGTCTGATTAGGGATCCCATAGAAGTAGTAGCAAAGCTAGCATCAGTCATTAAAACACACATGTTCTATACCACTGCAAAAAAGCGCGCGCGGGGGGGGGGGGGGGGGGGGGGTTATCATGCGGTACACTGACTGAAGGGGGGAGGGGGGGAGGTTATCATGCGGTACACTGACTGAAGGGGGGGGGGGGGGGGGGGGAGGTTATCATGCGGTACACTGACTGAAGGGGGGGGGGGAGGGGGGAGGTTATCATGCGGTACACTGACTGAAGGGGGGAGGGGGAGGGGGGAGCGTTATCATGCGATACACTGACTGAAGGAGGGGGGAGGGGGGAGGTTATCATGCGGTACACTGACTGATCTATGGGGGGGGGGGGAGGGGGAGGTTATCATGCGGTACACTGACTGAAGGGGGGGGGGGAGGGGGGAGGTTATCATGCGGTACACTGACTGAAAGGGGGGAGGTTATCATGCGGTACACTGGAAGGGGGGGGGGGGGGGGGAGGTTATCATGCGGTACACTGACTGAAGGGGGGGAGGGGGGAGGTTATCATGCGGTACACTGACTGAAGGGGGGGGAGGGGGGAGGTTATCATGCGGTACACTGACTGAAGGGGGGGGAGGGGGGAGGTTATCATGCGGTACACTGACTGAAGGGGGGGGGGGGGAGGTTATCATGCGGTACACTGACTGAAGGTGTGGAAGAAGCATATCAAAATGCAGGATTTAGACATTTAGACACATGACAGAAAGTGCTGATGATGTTCAATGTAAAAATGATACTGATGATGATGGTGACCACAGATGAAAAATACATACCGCCTTTGACTAACATATGCGCTGCCAACATGTTGCCAAGAGATAATGGTAAAGCTGTGGGGAAAAAAGAGAAAAATCTGTAGCATAACAATTTATACTGTATCAAACATTCTCGTATTGCAGTTGTAACCCTCCTACAGTTACCTTCAAGGCAGTCTGGGTCTAGATCATGACCAAAGACACACATTGTGTTATGGCTAATGAAACTAGAAAACTATATAAGAAAGAGACAGTCAAATTGATTCTTTGGTCATTTGATGAAAAGAGAGGCAATGGAGAATACTATAATGATTGGAAAGATCAACTGTAAAAGAGGCAGAGGCAGACCCAGAGAAACATTGCTGGACAGCTTAAAGGGATGGCATCGTGGAATATCATTAATGGAATTGATTCAGAATATCAGTGACAAAGATCTGTGGGAAGATATGAGCACCTACGCAGCATGGCAGAGCCATTTTTTTTCTTCTTCTTCTTCGTTCACCGGCTGTGAATTCCGGCGGAAGGTCCCAGTTGATCGTCTGCTTGGACTTTTGGCTTTTACCTGGACCTGAGTTTTGCGTGTACAACCGTTTTGCTGTTCCCTGCCTCATGGGCAGCTGTACTCCGACTTCGAGGGAAGACGTCAGGCCTTTTTCTAGGATGACTGTGGCCATTGTTTTGTGTGGGTCGAGACGTTGCCTGATTTGTGTGGTGTCCACTTTGTCTCCTTCTCCGCAGGTATTGCCCATAGAGTACACCTTTGGGGCAGCCCCCTGTGGAACGGTTGGCCCTCAAGGAAAGGCAGGGGCAGATCATGGGCATTCCCCGCCATCCAAGGAGGTTTCCATTTTTGCAGAGCCGGCACATGGCGCTCTGGTTCTGGGCTCACCCAAGGAATCGTCACGTCCTGCACATGCCCGCTTGACCTCACATCCGTATTAGGCCTCCCGCTCGACAAGGGCTGCGCCCTCCGGAAGTCAGCGGGAATCAGCCCGCGAATTCTGGACTTTTGTGACCACCCAAATAGGTACATTCTTTTTCTTCGCACGTTAGGTATCTTTGACGAGCCGTTAGCCCGACAAAATTCAACATCCTGCGTCAGGCATATCGTTATCTGTTTGGTCCCAGCACTCGGGCGAGTGGGGTCTTTTGGTGTGGACATTTGGACTTTTTCCGTTCAATACGATCTGTGATGGTCAGATTTTGAGCTTACTCGTGTGACGTAGGTTCTAGTTTTGTTGGACATTTAGGCTTAGCCAGCCGATGGATGGTTGCTGTCTTGGTGTACCTCAGCGCGGTGATGACGACACTGAGGGTTAACAGAGGATGTACATGGGTGGAATCTTGCTGCGAGACACCACCCACAGGAGATGTTACTCGTCTGTGCTGCGGGTAAATCTCTAGGTCAAGGGTTGAGTCTCAGCAGAACAATGTTCTCTTTACTCCACCATCTTTTAACCAAGGGTTGTAATTTTAGATGTATATTCGGCAAGCATTTTACTCATGTTCCTAATGAGTTTTGATAACCTTTTTCACCCATGCGTTTGGGGGCGGGCAGATGAGAGCCACAAGGACACATCACCTCTGGGGGCCGCCAAACTCCGAGATCCCCTGACAGCTCTGTTAATGCTCATTTGAGACATTATCCGTGGCGCACGACGAGGACGTGCTGCAGGGGTCTTGCGTGAGGTTCCGTACAACCAGAACAGTGAAGGACTGAGGCCCGAGTGACGTACGGAGTATCTCCTTATACACATCATGTTGGACTTGAATTTCCCTCACGCCTGTGACATAAATCACCGCACCACCTGGCAGGGCCATTGATAATGATGATGATGATGGCTATGATGCAACTGTGTTGCTCATATTTTACTGGGGCTCTTTGAGAAAGCACAGAACAGTAACTCATCAACCTACCAAGCCTGCTGTAAGTAGTGACTAAGGGCATGGTTTGGCTTGGGGTTGGCCCCCTCATTTTACATTTTTTTTTAAAAGTACCAGTCATAAAAGCCAACATAATATGAACAAATTTAACAAGGATTAGCACAAGCTGGCTGAAGACCTATGCCAGAGGGATAAATGTTAAATAAAGAATCAACATCACAGCTGTCGGGACACACGTTTCCATCTTCAGCAGCAAGTGAAGAGTTCCAATTCCGATGGTACCAGTAACTGTCTGATTGTATATTTATTTATCTTGCCCTTCCCTTGAGTGTTGGGCGCTGACCAGATTCCCAGGTAACTCTCCGCAGCGCCATTCTCCTAAGACCGTAATGATCTATTTGTGCTTCCGTAATGTTCACCTTGCTCCTAAACTGCCCTCACAACATCTAGCGTGTCATATATCAATTCACCAACAAGTGGTGCAGAACTGGCCAGTCTATCTGCCTGTTCGTTTCCCAACAAACCGGCATGACCTGGAAAAAATATCCAAAGGATGCTAACTACCCGGGACTTCTGAAGTGATGCTTGCCAATCTGCACAGAGCATGCCTGTCTCCACCTTTCTTAACATGTTCTGTGAGTTAGTTACAATCATGGCATTGTGTGTTATAAAGATCAAAAGCAAGCAAAAAGATTGATACTTTACTATTCTGATCAGTGGTATAACTTGAGAAAAAAAAAGCAAATCTAATCTGAGAGCACAGTTATTGTGTGTGAACTTGAGCAATAACCACCCGTGTTATCAGCACAAAACATTAGAGTGATGATGATGATGAGAATATTACTGACTTAGATTTAAAGAGTTGGAACTGGACAATTAAAGGCAATCTTATGGAAGAATGTAACAAGATTGTTGTTACAGTGAAACCTTGTTCACATGATTGCACTTAAGAAGAACACTTGGTTTACGTGAACACAATTGTGGTCCCAGCAGGGATGTATTATTGTTGCCAGCCCCCAGCTAGCATGATTTATTTTAAAATGAACTCAATTTTCAAGCTGACAACGCAAGAGCTTCAGCTCCTTCATCAGCAGTAGAAGAAAGAAATTGCAGAAGGTTTCTTCAGGGGATGAAGAGGAGGAAGCTGGAAGGATAAGCACTGCTGAAATCCAAGATCTTGAACTCATCATCATGTGCATTGCCAACTGGCGTAAACGCTCATGCGTCTCTGGTGGTCAGGAACAGCTTTCTTGATGATATCCCTCCATGTCATCATTTCCGCCCATCCAGCATCATCTCTCTTAGTCTGCCTCTACCCCTTTTCCCACTGATCTTTCCAGCTGTCATGATCTTGGTCTATGTGGTTGAAAACGCAAGAAGCTGAGAGGTGAAACAATGGTCCCTAGTTAACAGGTGTTAACTTATTCAAAGATAACATTATCAAAAATTTTAGAAAATTTAAAAAAAAAAAAAGGTTGCCAAGACAGAGAACTTTGGAACACTGGCTGTCAACAAAAACTAGTGACCCCAAACTCTCAATAAGTGGTAAATGACTATGATCTGAAAAACTAGAAAGGATTCCTGAGGTTATCATGTAAAGGTGACACATTCCAAACAATAATCTCTCTAAATCGTCGCCCTCCTCCTACATCTAGGCACCATGTCACAATTTTTATCAAGGTTCATTAAATACAATGTTTCATAACTTTTCTATTTGTTTTCATGTTTGTATTCAAACAAGATCATTATGTCTTATTACATTTACAGTGGCTGTATTTGCAAGAAAACATGTTAAAATTTAAGTTTACTGGATCCTGAACAGATTCAGTTTCAATTTTTTTCAATAGGAAAAATTTCTCTGGAACTCAAATGATTTGGAATTCAAACACCGTCTGGAACAAATTATGTTCGAATTCTGAGGTACTACTCTCTCTCTCTCTCCCTCCCTGTGTGTGTGTATGTGTGTGCGTGTGTGTGTGTGTATATATATAAAATACCTGAAAGGAAAATATATTCAACACAAACAGCAAAATACCATATATTTGTAGCTTATTAATTAACAATTTATGCAAGTTAATCTCATGTAAACACCAATGGCACACCCATTCTGATTCAGTACAAATATCACACTGTCTACATGTCAAATAAGAATGACAGAACTAAAAATAGTGTGATACCTCTTTTGTAAAAGCTATCCCTCTCGCATTCTTTTAAGACCAGCTTTTCTTCTTCAGTTAGTACCTGAAAGTTCATGGTTCACAACAAATAAATACAAACTGATACTTATCAGGGCAACACAATTTCATTTTTAGGAAATCTCAACTATGTGGTAGTTTCCATTTTTGCCTCTGGTATGCAGCCTAACTATGTCTTTTTGGTTTATATTGTTTTTGATTTTAACCAAGAGGCTCCGAGAGGCCATAATCCAGCATCACTGCTCACTACTCCTCTAAGAAAAAGCGGTAAACGCTTGTTCATGCTCTGGCCATCCCCATCATGCCTAGTTAACACAATTTTTTTGGTTTGCAATCACAGTTTTTAACAAATATCATCATATTTACTAAAAATAGCTTGGGGAGGAAAGGGGGTGGGGGGAATTGTGTGAAAATATATTTTAAAAGTTATTATGATGTCATAATCCCCCCCCCCCCCCCCCCCCCCCCCCCCCCCCCCAGCCTTTAGTAATCAGGGTCATAGGTCACAGCATAAGTCCCCACATGAATGCTATTTTGTGTGTTCAGGGCCAAGGGAAAGAAACTGCTTAAAATCTATGCTCTTTCATGTTTAAACTAACAAAAAAAACAAAAACAAAAACTGTTCCTTTTTCTTAGCGTTCACTGGCTGTAAACTTCTGTGGATGTTAACGCCTGTTTATTTCTGGACCATGGTCTTGTTCCAGAACCTGAGTGTTGTGTGCACATCCGTTTTACGGTGTGCATTTTGTTTTTTTTTTATTCTTGGCTGTTGGTACCTCACCTCCCTGACTTTATTCATTTTGCTTTTATCTGATGCACTGTATTATTGCACACAACTGAGTGTGTTTCCAGCACCAGAGGCTAAATTACAGTGTCCAATATTAAAAGTTAAAAAAATGCTTCGGCCTGAAAAAGTATCTCTTTCAACCTTATTAAAAGACGGTTGACATTGCTACCTACCTATTTTAAATAAGGATATCATCAGTAGGTGCCAGAACTGTATGCAACAATTCTATTTTGTATAAATTCCTGACATTGACCCAAAAAAAACGTGAAACTAAAATCTATCTCATTTAAACTTTTGTTTCTTGATATGAAAACACACCTTTAACCCTTTCACTCAGAAAAGCCTTAAAATAACCCAAACTTCCGACTAGGTCTAATTCCCAGCAAATATCACTTTTCTTATTTACATGATGTATAGTTATTGCAACTGGCTCAGTTCGTGCCTGTGCAAACATTTAGGAAGTTATAATATTTAAATAATTAACTAATAATAGCATTTAGATGGGTTTTCACTTGTGCTAAATGGTTAATTTTAAAGCCCACATGACGTAAGATTTTCTCATAAGCCTCAGTGGTAAAGGTCACGAGGCACGTCAATAGTCACCCAATTCATACGTTTTTAGGCCCCGAGAGCTGTATTCAATTCAATGCTTCACCCCATTTGTGTTTATTGATTACCCCTTTCAAATATCTTTATATCTTTTTGATAAATTTATTAGTGACCTGTGTAAATACTGTTGTTGTTTTTACAGATTTATTTTTCCAGGAAACCCAAAGGGGTCATCATCTTATTTTTTCCAGAGTTCTTAAGGCAAAACAGTTAACACATTTTGTAACATATAAACTGCATACATGGATAGATTATTCTCCTTTAGGATTCTGAGCCTGTGAGGTTTATTTATTACTGCAGATATAATCCGCCGACATTTGTCTGTCTGGCCTTCTCTTTGAATTTAATAGCTCCAAGTTTTTGCAGGTCTGCATTTATTATCTCTGCCATGTTCTTGGTCTACCTTGTGGTCTACTCAAATTCATTCAACTACATGGAAAGATATATTTCATGAAATGGTGATATCAGGAAATTAAATACAGCCAAGAGTAATGATACTCAACTAAGTAGGTTAAAACAACCAGTGGTGGTTCATGGACCACAGGTTAAAGAACACTGATGAACTGGCCGTTGTATACACACCCCAGAGTTTGATGACTGTGTGCTTTTACTAATTCAGACGAAGGACAGGGCATAACAGATCAACATATGTTGAAAGTTTTCGGTGTAGGAAATACGGAGATATGTCTCTGTAGCGTGGCACCAGAAAATGCTGAGCATGTGCTCTAACACTGTCAATTGTGTGTTACCAGCAGAGATGCAATCTGGCCTGTTCCAACCACAATGATGACAAAACTGTATGGTACATGAGAGGATATGGACTGCACAATAGCTCTCATAAATGCTACCAGCATTCTGATATAGACATAAGGATCGAAGAAGAACAGGCAATTTTGCTTTAAGTCAAAGTCAACATGAACCTGTCTGCTACCAAACAACTTTCATCTGAATTGAACCCGATGTCTTGGTTTTAGGAAACTCGGTACAATCCCCCAAACAACAGATGCCAGCCACTGTTTCAAAGTACTATGCATTGCAAAATCTGTGAAAAACCAGTGTTTGAAAACAGTATGATTGAGATGAGATGCCTATCTCAATCTTAGATCTGCTAGCTCTCAGATCTGCCTGCCTCACTGATCTGCTTGCTCTTTGTCCTCTTTGTAGGCACTGTAAGATGAGTACTGACACCTTTTTTAGTCACTCTGTGGTGAGTACCGGCAGCTCTTTTTCAAGAAAAAAGCTGCCATTGATAAGCCTAACTGTATGGCTCTATGGCTTAGAGGTTAGTGAATGTTCTAACGATTTCATGATCCTTGAGCACTATGGGCCGTTTGCCACATGGTGATGGATAGTCAACATACAAAAAATCTCCTTTTTGGACAATAGTACAAATGTGGAAGATACTGTGGCCTCACCCCATAATATTTCTAAAGACAGCAGTGCCACACTGTTTCAACAGACCCCTTTCCCAAGCCTTCAGGCGTATTCTGGGCATAGAGGGCTAGACCAATTTATAGACAAATCGGCACTCGGTGGGTGATGTGTTTGGGCAGCATGATGCCGGCTGGCCTTTACTTCTCAGGATTTTACCTAGTACACTGGGAGCCAAGGTCATTTCTGAACAAGTTCGGCTCCATCAGGACCTGACCCCGCGACACTGGATACGCAGGCGAGCGTCACAAGACGCTACCAACACCACAGTGGCTGCACTTAGCCAACCTTTATTCAAATTGTGCAGACGGCAGCTACCTTTTTAATGTAATGTCTAATTACATTGAGGAAAGGACGTTATACGGAGACAGATAAAAATCAAAGCAGAAGTACTATTTCTCTCACAGGTATTGTAATTTGCCGTGGTTCTCCACCCTGTACCCCTGGCTGATTCAACAGCGGACTCCGTTGTTCAGCTCTCTCAGGCGGAGTTGCCATTTTTTGCTTACATAGGACGTCTAGTGTTAACGATAGGTCGAGGTCGCTTACAGCTCTCAACATCCATGGGCGCTTAGGTCATTTACAATAATGTTTGCTGTGTTTGATGCTTTTGTTTGACACAAATACTTCGTGGATTTTTTTTTCAGTTGATAGATGCATTTTGTTTTTTAGAAATGCAGCAGCTAAATATAGGTAAAATCGTTTCAGATTTTATGAACAGATACACGGACAAACATATAAACCAACATACGGCTAAACAGGGAATAGGGGAAGTTACCCTCATTAGGAAACGTAGTGTCGTCTGCTAACAAAACTGTAATTCGTAATTGAAAATTTGTTGTACACCTTTCATGTTTTACCTATTATTTTACGCTTTATAACAATTACTTTACCATTATTATTAATGTATATACTTATGTGTTAGCATTTGTTTTTTTTTAAAGCTTGGTTTCTAGTGAGCACTGTGATTTTAAATAATAATCATCATCAGTAATAGTAATAATAAAATACTGTCTTTGTCGATGTGCCCCGCAACCGGTCTTCCCCGACAATCTGAATCAAAATCCTGACACCAGTCCAGTACAGCTTATTGGTGCGTGTTGTCAGTGTTTTTTTTAATGTGTTTGACCTTGTAACCAGACAAAACTTCATTTTTGTTTTAAGCCCCCCCCCCCTTCCCCACCCTTTTTCCAGGATTGCAGTATCAGTATGTAGGATCAACATCTCAAGGATGGGAATCAAACAGATACTAACTACAGTTGAGTTACAAATCATTTCAACCGTAAAGCCAAATAGCACTGTTTGGGGTACCATAAAACAGTTACGAAGTAAACTGTACTACAGTGTAGGCGGGTCTTATGCTAGATGTAGTATATTTGAGATGATTATTCATGGAAAGAAACAAACCAAAGAAAAATAGAACCCATCATCATCATTATCATCATCACGTGCCTTGCCAGTTGGCGTAGGCGCTCATGCATCTCCACAGATCACTACCCCTGGTTGCCTGGAACAGCTCCCTTGATGGTATAACTCCATGCCATTGTTTCTGTCCATCTCGCATCATCTCTCTTGGTCTGCCCTACCCCTCTTTTCACTGATCTTTCCAGTTGTCATGATTTTTCCAATGTCTCTCTTTTCATTACATGACCAAAGAACTGTGTTTGTCTCCTTCCTATTGTAGTGTATAAAGATTTACTTTCATTAGCTTCTTTCAAACAATCATTGTTAATTACTCTTCTTAATTTGTTCCGTGACATTCCTTGATTCACTGCCATACATTATAACAGGTTCTATGTAACATTTTAAAACTCATTTTAACCCATCAGCTTAATAATATCACAAACACAAACGACAAGGGAACATTGCGGGCAGAGAGCCTTCACCAACACATTACATATTTTATGTAGCCTGCCATCACAGGACTGGGACCTGTGACAACTGCGCCTTATGTTACTTCCATGGATCTGATTGGCTGAAACTAAGGACTTTGTTGTCATTGGAACTTGCTCAGAGTAAATTACCACATGAATGAATCTCGGTGGGAACTTACATTCATGATTGTGATGCTATGTCTGGTTGGGTAGCTGTTATCTATATTTTAAAAAAAGGGCAGTGTTACCAATTGATTTGTGAAGACAGGGCAAGATAAATTTATATATCACTAAGTTAACAATTCATTAAATTATTATTTTTGTTGATTATATCAGTTGTGTGTTTACACAGCTAGTGACAAGCTCATTCAATTACAGTAATATTTACAGACATGACTGATTTTATTCTTTAATGATTGAATCAGATAGAATTTAGGTGTTAACAGCAACTTAAATTAAATGAAAAATATTTTTAAAGTATTAAATGGCATTTATAGAAATTTAAAAAAAAGCTCTGCTGTATTATTTAAGTATTGTTATTAAAGGATTTACTTCATGCCATATAGTGAGTAAGTATATTCTTGCTACCTAATATGTAATAAATTGTATTACAGTTTACAATGTTATTTTTAATATTCACTATCAGAATTAATTTTGTTGAAGTTTTTTTCCTCCAATTATTAACATAATAATGATTTTCAAAGATAAATATCTTTGTGTCAGTGTTACTATATATATATATATATATATATATATATATATATATATATATATATATATATATATATATATATATATATATATATATATATATATATATATATATATATATATATATATATATATATATATATATATGTGTGTGTGTGTGTGTGTGTGTGTATATATATATATATATATATATATATATATATATATATATATATATATATATATATATATATATATATGTATGTATATATATATATATGTGTATGTATATTTCCACCAGTGTTGCTAACCAGTTTTACTACAGACAAACAACTGAGATGTCATTTCTACGGGACAGATTTGCACTGTTGAAATCTGTACTGATGTACTTAGATTTCAAAAAACAGTTTATGGATATCAAGGAAAATGCTATAAAATATAGACATTTAAAAGTAGGAAATTTATCGTGTTTTTGTGTGTGTGTGTGTGTCACTTATTTTTGTGTGTGTTAATAATTATGAATTTAACAACCAAAAGTAGCTGGCAACCTTACATATCCAATATCAAAACAAAAAACATTTGCCTACTTCATGCATTTTTATGCCAAGGCTATATTTAATATCAGTTTTTCACATTATTATAGTTAACCTCTCATACATTTTTATGTCAAAGATATATAGGGTGTACGTTTAATAACTGTAGACTTTATGAAATCAATTATTTGTGCACTGTAATTAAATTTGTGTTTTTCACCATGTTTGAAATGCAATATAATAATTAGTTTGTGTTTTTTTCAGCACTATCATAATAACCATATTGTTGTGAGTACCAGTAGCTTTTTGACTTTTTGAACACCTTGAGTAACTGAAACGTATTTTTTCTAGCAAAAATAAAAAGCCCTGATTAAAAGAGTCTAACATTTTACAAATACTAGTATTTCAGATACGAAATATCATCATCATCAGTCAGCAGGTCTTCACTGACATCATGGTACGCCTGAAAGTCTCTCTTTATGTAGCCAATTGTCCAGCCGTACATGCCTTATTTTCCAGAAACTGTAATCCCCATCACCATTCTCTGCAAGCTATGTAACATTGCCTAAATACCTCAGCTTTCAGCACAGGATGCTGTTTATAATTCAGTTCTCCTCGATGCACAGATCATGTAGGATGTGGTTTTTGTGTGTCATGGTATTTTAAGCATTTTTCTGTAGCAGTTCAGTTCAAAAGTTAAGATTTTTTTCTTTAATGATTGAATAAGAGCTCATGACTCACATCTATATGAAATTTGATAACTCTACTATTTAGAGTCCATTTTCTTTCTCCAATAGGAGAGCTTCATCTACAGCTTTAGTGTCAATGTTGATCTTGGATTTATATTTGAGCAGGATGGTGAGATATTAGTTTTTGGTTTTGTGTTATTGTTCTGAATTGTAGACCATGAAAAGTAAGCGACCCTTTTCATGCCTTTGACTCATCAGCATGTAGTTCTAGACCTGCATTTTTGGAGCCCAATCATCACCAAATGGGTGATGCTTTCAACATGACGCTGGCTGATTTTATTGCCCAGGATATTACCTGGTTCCTGTTTTAGGCTGGATGGACCTGGGAGCCAAAGTCAGTTTGAAGAACAAAAGTTTTTTCTCAATACTGATTTCAACCATAGACTTTTGGGCCAGTACACAAGTGTCTAGCAACTATGCTAATGTGACTTTCAATTGTAGACCATACCTGATACACACTAAAACAGTAATAACAATGTGTGATATAAGACCTGGGTGTCTTTGCAGAGAATGAGCACACTTGTCGGTATACAACATCTGGGGAGGAGGGGGGGAGAGGTGGTTGATTTACTCAGATACATCTCTGGCTTTGGTATTAAAAAACGTTAAGCAAATGAATGAGAGTGTATCACTGAATCTAAAAAAACATGTTCTCTGTGGACAGAGGCAAGAGAATTTAATTCATTGCACTGGGTTTTATCACATATGGCTTGGTCTCCTCCAGAAAGTGGGAAGTCAAGCTAGAGTGTTCAAACTCTGTAGCTCTACTGATGAATGTCAGGGATCACAGAAATACCAGCACTCAAGAACTGAATTACAGAAGCCCAAATTAAACACAGCTGTTAAAGTGTGAGGCAAATGACTTAACCATGTCACCAGAGTGACCCCTTATCATGAGGGTTTTTAAAAAAACCCACAGGCTGTCTCTACACTCTAAGAAGAAACTCTATAGGAAACAAGATTAGTGATTTGAGAATACTGTATAAAATCTTATATGATGCAAATCATAAATTTCAAATTCAGCAGCAACATGTAGGTGATTCAAGAAAACAGAATCAACATTAACTATTTTAACAGTTGTAAAGATGCTGTTAATTATATGTTAAGAACAACAAAGAAAGCTTTTTAATGTTTTATTCTTTCTACATACAGCTGTTTTGGGGACAACAATACTTTCACTACCACTAGAAAGTGCTAATTTCTTTCAAGAGGTAAAATACAGTCAATTTTAGGTGACAATATTTGGCACAATATCAGTTAAATTTCTAAAGTAAATTACTGTTTTTTTTTTTCATTGGAAGCAAAACAGAGAGAGAGAGAGAGAGATGGAGAGAGAGAGAGAGAAAGAGAGAGAGAGAGAGATCATGTGAAAAAATTGAGAGAGAGAGAGAGAGAGAGAGGAGAGAGAGAAGAGAGATAATGTGGAAGAAATTGAAAGAGACAGAGCGGGGGGGGGGGGGGGGAGAGAGGAGTGATAATGTGGAAACAAATTGAGAGAGAGAGAGAGAGAGAGAGAGAGAGAGAGAGAGAGAGAGAGAGAGAGAGAGAGAGAGAAGAGAATGTGGAAGAAATTAATTTCCTGTAAGCTCCATTCAAAACTTTAGATTGTTTAGTCATATTAGTTGGATGTTATCCAAGAAAAGATCTGTACAATTTTAGTGGAAGTCTTGGGAAAAAGTGGCATCATGTTTTGCACCACATTCATCTACAATCATGCTAAGGGTCAAACTTTGGTGGTGAGTACATTATTATGAACAGAAATTGAAAATCCCAACCTAGCTTCATCTTCAGTTATTTCCACACCTGGTTTGAATTGTATGTATTGTACCACCTGAATATCTGAGCAGGAGATAAACACTGATCTTCATAATCTTGTCTCTTCTTTTCAGCTTCTCATTAGCACTTTCTTTGAGTTTAAAATGGACTTGAATGTTAACTCTGTGCAGTGCTGCTTATGTAACCAAGAACCTCTCAATAACTAAATAAAATTATGGATTACCTGTTGTCTGCTGATCTGGCAGCATTGCAGTTTTGCCAAATCATAGATGAATGAGTTGTTGAGGGTTGGCTGGCTAAGTGGTTAAGAACTCTGGGCTCTCATTTTGGAGACTTAGGTTTGTATCTTTGCTAAGGTGATGGATTGTTTCTGTCAGGAGCAAAAATACATTCTAACCTACACATCTGTGGTGACTGCACAGCCTATGCAGATCTACATCTTCAGGCTCAAGATGCTCTCCCCCCACCCCTCCCCCAACTCTCCAAATACCAGTCCTGCACTGCCCTAAAGAATTGTAAACACAGGAAGTGAAAAATATGTTTTCTTGTTTAAATAGCATGATTTGCTTCATTGACGGTTTTAATTATAATTTAAACAGTAGTATCCTGTTCGACCCGTCTGGGTTATAATTGGGATATAGTTTTTTTTTTTCATTTTAATAATGGATATTTAATTCTTTAAGTCCCAAGGAATTCATCATACATTCATAGGTTCCTACCTAGAAGTAAGATATGCTAATTTTACATCTCTTTACTTTCCCATGGGCCTCTGATGCTACACCCCCCCCCCCCCCCCCCCAGATTGAAAGAGTTAAGCTTGTCAGTTATATTTGATTATTCAACATTGCATATCTTATGTATCAATTATATAAGAATGTAGGAGTATAGATTGACAAGTTCAATATATTTTAAGTGTACTTTCAAACAGTTACAGAAATTGTATTGTGTAGATATTGGTGTTACGATTTTGTTTATTTGTTTGTCTTGGCCATAATAAAATCAGTCTCATTATTTAATTGTTGACCAGCTGATCTTTATGCCTACTTTATGTTATCAGTGCCAAACATGGTCAATGAATAGGGCAAAAAATAACTACATGTGAAATTGGCTGTCTCCACAAGGTCACTAACAACACAAGAAGAGACAGGGCTATGAATATCAGCATTAGAAAGTGGGAATGAGACTGTGTCTGGATTATAATGACAGACAAAGAATGAAATCATTCAGCCGTCTAGTGTGAATGCATCCAGACCAAACTGCATATGAGACTTTTTACAGTAGAATATCTGGGAGAAAGGTGAGAGGAAGACCAAGAAAGATATGAACAAATGTTGTAGCAAATAAACAAATCCATCACCCAAGCCACCCGAGAAGCTCAAGACAAATACAAAAAACCATGACACTGAGCTACAACCTGGTATCACTAAGATGACAAAAGAAGAAGAAGAAGAAGGACCGTGTATTTTTAGACTGGTGCTCAATAAATGATGTGGTCAGTATCATACTAGCCTCTCTTTTCTTACCAGGAAATCTCCTGATACCAATTTTGGTCTGGACTGAGCTAGAAGTCTAGGTAAATAAACAAAACCTTAAACTCTTTTCAAAATATTCTTAAGTATTTCTAAGAAACGGTCTGAGAAAGAGCAACAGATGATACTGACGATTATGAGATCAACCCATGGAGAAAGTGATGATCAAATTATTTCAGAAATCTAGTTAAAATGAGCAGTGACAGTTACCAATACAGGTGCTACATCCAAGAAAAGCTGATACAATATCAAGATTGCACCCAAGAAAAATTTGCAGGGGACCCTAAACATAGTCGGGTCTTAAATATGGCTCAACAGCTGAACAAGGTTTCCGGGACCTCCCCAAGGGTGATCCTCATCTGCTTGGTGGTACTTTGTGTCACCGGGTGTTTATCGCTTGTGTGATGTCCTGGTGGGCTACAACTTACCTACCTACCTACAACACTTGATGGCAAAAGTGGAAGAAAACTCTCTGTGCTAATACTTTTTAATTGTTAAAGAGCTAAAACAGAATAAAGATGATAAGGAAGATTGTTTGGATTCAAGACCCATCTGATTGTTTGGATTCAAGACCCATCTTTGTACTTGCAGGTTATTTTTCAGTTCTGCTTAAGTCATGACCTTCTCCCTTCTAATACAACACCGTCACAGATTTGTGTCCGGCTGAGAATTAATAACTTTCCCTCAAATTGTCACAGGTTAGTTTCATTTATAAAACTTAATAATAACACTAGACAACAGTTTGTCTTTTTTCCATAATGGATTTTAAAAACCTGCCATTACTGTCTGTTTTTACTCCTTTTTGCAGTGTAGACAGGAGGGGAGGGGGAGGTCTTTAAGCCTGAGGATTAGTGGCTGCATGGCTGGTGCAGCCGCCACTGATTATGCAGTTTAAGATTTTATTTTGGCCATGACAGGAAAACCCATAACCTTAAAAAGAATCTACTGCATGTGAACCCAGCATTATTATCATTCCGCCAGCCACTCCTGTCTATAATGGGCAAAGATATCAAACAGTAACAAAGAAAACACACTGATCAGATTTCATCACGTTTCCTGAACTAAATGCAGGACTGTTCTGACTCAGACCTTCTTTGCCCCTGGTATGAGCAAGAATAATACATGTGCTGTTTTTACTAAAGTAGTTAAAAATTAAGTAAACAGCAAATGAAATAAATAAATAAAAATTATTGTAAAAGAATTAAGTAGTTGTGAACTATGAGCTCATTGATGAAAGAGTAACTAAAGTTGAAAATTCTAAGTAAATAAAGTAAAGGACCAATCTTACGCCGTTAGGACATCATCCCTGTGATGCTAGACTTATTGTTTTAAGACTAATCGGCACTGGGTGATGTGGTCAACACCACACCAGCTGTCTTTACTTCCTGGGACATTACCCGTTACCCATTTTAGGCTGGGTCGACCTGGGAGGCAGGTTTTTGTGTGTGTGTGTTAAATCTACCCAATGCAAGCTAGTTGCAAAATTGGCTCACATAATGTAGTGACAGTATATTTGTTAATTACAATGGATGCACAAATATATGTAGTGGAGGTGTCACCAGCAGATGAGTTAAGTTTGTGATATGTTAACTAGAAAAGCCCCAGAGAACATTCCATTCAATATGAGAATAGGAATTCAGAAAGTAAAAAAGATTACACAAGCTTAATGGCATGTTAAAAATAGGTCATAATTAGACTGTCAAAAATGATGATACAGAGAGTGTCAAGTCTTCATTTATTAAGCTTTGAATATGAACTAATGAGAGAGACAAGAATTAATTGCATGAATGAATGGTGACAAACTGCAATATTTCCAGTATCATAAAGCAGTGCTATATGTGGTGTAATTAGCAATCATCACAGTTTGTAAGAATTTATATACATCAAGTAAAAGCTGTATAGGAACAAAATCAAGCACATATCCAAACCTTTTGGAGGCCTTATGTAACTTATGTTAAAAAAAATTGTTCCTTCTATTTTTACAACTATTTATTTATCATGTTACTCTCGTTTAATCTATAGTTCTGTTCTCAGTTCTCAGATAACGAAGATGCCAGATCTAATCAAACATTTAAACTATCGGGGTTTTGTAAAGCTAGTCGGCATTGCTGCTGGGGTGTCAGGGCTTGCCAAATACACGTGAGTGTGTCATTTCTTGTAACTTATTAGGATGGGTTTAATAAATACTTGACAGATGGTTCAGCTGGTTGCAGATCAGTGGGGAGCGGATTGGTGGGGTTCTAAAAGTGATAGATGATAGAAAATATAATCTTAGATGAAATAACATGTGTAAGGTTGCGTGAATTTAGAAATTTAAGTGGATCTGGCTAGAAAGAACATGTGAGAGGAAGAGAATGACGTGTGTACAACCGGTGTGCTGCTGGAGCAGCTAGCATCTACACATGAAGACATCAGCTGTGGAGACAGAGCACCTATGGGTGTGCCTGGTATGTTGTGATGTCAGTAGTGAAATCACTAGTCATCTGGAGGACTGATGCTTGTGATATTATTTGTGATTGTTATTGCACTTGTGTTGTTATTTGTTAAGAGTGAACATGCCTGTGCTTCAGGAGCAGACTGCATAGTTAATACTGTCAACTGAAACTGTTTTAGTGATAGCATTACAGGGACCTAAATGGTTATACTGTCCAGGATAGGCAGGAGTGCAAGACAGTGAATGAGTAGATTCTTTGGCAACATAAGGGCCAGCGGTAGGAACACTTGTAAGGGATAATGCAGACCTTCTGAAGACTATATATGAATGAATAGTGATGGAAGATGCAGTTAGATGAAAGGATATTGTGTAAGGTAATGTGAATTTTGGAGTTAAGTGTGGATCTAGCAACAAGGGATATGTGAGAGAAATAGCACAACATTTGTACAAGTGTACTATTAGAACAGTCAGTATCAACACCTTAAGTCATCTGCTTTGAAGATAGAGCATCTATGGATATGTTCAGTATATCAGTTACATCAATTTTTGATTCTGTATTCAGTTCAGAAATTTATATTTCAGACAGGTTATTTCCTAGAAGGGTTATAAATTTCTTTTTAGGGTGATACTAATATTTACACAGATGGGTCTGTCATTCTACATGTTAAAAGCTCACGAGCCTTTAGGGCTCAGGTTGCAGGGAGAACTGTGAAAGAAGATTCTGTTGCCTTGACAACAAGTAGTCTGATTATGTAGATCACAGCAGTAACTTTAGCAATAAACATTATGGAGTCACAGACTTTCAATCTGGAATACTTTCTCAGGGATTCAGTAAGACATTATAAAAGGAAATAAACAAGGTAACAGTCTTGCAGGTAATGTGAAGGTTGGATGAGCAATGGACCAGGCTGTGCCCTGTGAGAAGTACAGAACTGTCAAGCCAAATTCATCCTTTTGCAAATCAGTCTCACCCTTTTGCAAATCGGATTCACCTTTTTGCAAATCAAATTCAACCTTTTATAGGTCACTTTTTTCTACAACAAATAAATTTTAGACTGTTTAATAAAAAAAATGAGACACAATGACAATGGTTGCTATACTTTAAATATTTACTGCATTTAGGCAATTAAAAACATAAAATGCTTTTTTAACACCAGAAATAATTATTTACTTAGGTTCATTTATAATGGTTCTGGTGCAGTGCTCGTAGTGACTTTATGTACCTGTTCATAAAATAATTATGACAATTTGTGGGAGTAGTAGTTATAACAAGGTGAAATAAAATCCACTAAATGTTCATGGTTTTACGGGTCAGCCAAAATATTTTTTAGATGTGTTTACTATCTTTGAAATCTCAACCTTTGTAGAAGGGAAAATAAGCTTCCAGTTAGCTTGCCAGGTAAGCGTTAACAAGATTGCTAATCGATACTGCTTGCATAGCTGCGCAAGTAACTACTGAAAAGAAAATAGCATTATTACAATAACCTGACTCTACTGTCACTCATCACATAAAAACAATTTGCCACAGTTTGAATTTGATTTGCAAAAGGTTCAGTTTAATTTTGCAAAAAGTTGAATTTGGTTTGCAAAGGAGGAATTTGGCTTACCAATCCTGTAAGAAGTTTGTGATAAGCAAGTAATGACTATGAATCTTCAGCCATGATCAGACTGCAAGAACAGCATGGGAAGAGAGGCGCCAGACAAGAGCACTATGCAGGAAGCCAGAGAAGAGTAATGAATCAGCACATAATTGGTGTGGTCAGCAACTGCATGCTGTTGGATTTACTGAGAAGAGGATGCGGCACTTGTGGACTGAATTGTTTGATCTACAGTGAGGATGATCTTGTTGACTAACTTTCTTATGTATTACAGACAAAGTACCAAGTATATTTGCCCAAGTAAAAACTGCAGTGGACATGATGGAAACCATTACATCAGAATACATGTACCAGGTGCTTCAGAAACTGAGACTATCAGGTTGACAGTTTTTTAGTTAGTGTTTTTGTGATAGTACTTGGGATTGTAATATTTGTGTGTGTGTGTTTTATGTTTTGGATGTGTTGTGTAAAGTGAGCAAATGTCTGAAAGAGGAAAATAAAAAGTGTGGGCAAGAGTACGTATAAGGAAATGACTGAATAGGGAAATAGAGAGTGTTGATGTGAGTATGTATAGGGAAATGTCTGAATGGGGAAATAAAGAGTGTGGGTGTGAGTATGTATGGGAAAATTGAAAGTGTAAGTTTAAGTACATATAGGAAAATGTCTAAATGGGGAAATGGAGAATATGAGTGTGAGTATTATGGGGAAATTGTCCGACTCGTAATTCCAACGTACCGCGATCGAAGCCCACTGATGGCTGAGTGGATTTTTATCATGGTATGGGGCGTCGCAGTCAACCCAGCCTAAAATATGTACCAGAATGGCTGTCCTGGGGAAGTATAGACAACCGGCGTAATGCTGACCACATTACCCACAAGTGCCGATTGGTCTGTAAAAATATGAGACGCTCTTCCCCATATGCTCAGTGCACCTAAGGCGTGAAAAAGGATCTTTACTTTAAAAAAAAAATTTATTATGGGGAAATTTGAGAGTGTGGGTGTGGTTGTATATTAGGAAATGTAAGAACGAAGAAGTGGAGAGTCTGGGTGTGAGTATGAATGGAGAAAGAGAGTGTGGATGTTAGTATGTATAGGGAAATATCTGAATGGGGAAAAGGAAAGTATGAGTATGTATGGGGAAATTGAGAGTGTGGGTATGAGTATATGGTGGGAAATGTTTAAATGGAGAAATTGAGAGTGTGGGTGTGAGTATGTGTAGGAAAATGTCTGAATGGGGAAATGGAGATTGTGGGTGTGAGAGTGTATGGGGAAATATATGAATGGGGAAAAGAAGAGTATTAGTGTGTATGAGGAAATTGAGAGTGTGGGTGTGGGTATATAGTGGGAAATGACTGAATTGAGAAATTGAGAGTGTGGGTGTGAGTATGTGTAGGGAAATGTCTGAGTGGGGAATTAGAGAGTGTGGGTGTGAGAGTGTATGGGGAAATGTCGGAATGGGGAAATGAAGAGTATGGTGGTGTCTACATATGAGGAAACTGAGAGTTGGATATCGCCGACCCCACGTGGATAAACACTTATGTAGTGAGTATGTGGGTTTGCATCCTGACACTTCACACCCACTTGAGAAACTGGACTAATATTTGTGAGAAACTGATAATATCTGAGCTATATTGATCCCAGACACAGTCCTGGAGTTGTGTTGTTTTGTGACAGATATTTGAATGTGGTAAGTATACAACCAGTAGCAATACAAAATTAAAAAAAAAAAATATATATATATATATATTAGGGCTGTACCGAATAGTGATTTTCACTATTCGGCCGAATACGAATAGCTGGACCAACTATTCGGCCGAATACGAATACGAATAGTGAATCATCATCATCATGTGCTTTGCCGGCTGGCATGGGCGATTATGCCTCGCCATAATCTGCGATCTTCTGCAGCACGTATTAGTTCGTGTGCCGACACACCTCCCTGAAAAACCTTCGTTCCATGTTGTCAGCATTAGGTCAGTTTTTTGTCTCACTGAAGGTATTTCCAGCTGTACTAAACAGGAAAATACGACAAATACAGAGAGTCAAAATGAAAACCCGCAAGGCGAAACATCAAAAACAAAAATAACGCCGACGAAGAAAACAATGCCGTCCTTACAAGTCTCCCAGCCCCCCGCAAGCTCACGAAACCAGACGCCGGGCGGCCAACGGCAGAAGTTCAAACAACAAAGACAATCAAGAAACCGAACGTCGATCAAAACATTCAGCTGCTGCCGTTTCCATGAGACGACGAAAGAACAGATACAACACCCATAAATGATGACGAACTCCCATTACTTCAAAGAATCAATGAAGAGGACACTCCACTCAAAGAAATCAAGCCGACAACACTAGAACACTTGCTTTTCTGCCCCTCTTACATTTTTAAATGTTGCATTTTGTTTCTACAGCAGCACACCTAAACACACTATACTCGAAACACATGCAAGATGGAAATAAAGGGGCACTTGGTACGCTCGTAGGTGGTGCACAAAGATAACGCTTCACAGTATAAACCAAGGTGGGAAGTCTTGATGTTTTTTTTCCACCAGTCCAGAAACGGTTGTGAGGTAACCACTATTCGTATTCGGCCTGACCGCAACTATTCAGCCGAATACCGAATAGTTATTGGGTCCACTATTCGGCCCCAAAGCGAATACGAAGCGAATATTCGGTACAGCCCTTATATATATATATATATATATATATATATATATATATATATATATATATATATATATATATATATATATATATATATATATATATATATATATATATATATATATATATATATATATATATATATATATATATATATATATACATATACATATTTATTTATTTATTTTAAAAAAAAGCCTGCACACAAGTGTTGCACACACGGTTCAAAGTTTCATCAGATTAAGTTTATAGAATATGGTTAGGGGTATAGATTGGGAAATGCCTGAATGGGAAAATAAAAACATATCTGGACCAATATCCAATTTTGCTGTTAATCTAGCTGGCTTGGTTAGATTGCTGCACTTAGGCTCAAGGGAAGAAATAAAATATGTCGATAGGAAGTTGTTCTGGACAATCCTCAGGGGTATGTTTTCCCTGCCTTTCCGTTTACAGATGGACCTTATACTTAACTTGTATGTGTATGTACAGTAGACACATGTATGTGGGTGTGCATACGTGTGTGTGTGTGTGCGTGCATATGTGCATGTGTGTGTGTGTGCATGCATATGTGCATGTGTGTGTGTGTGTGTATGTATATATATATTTATATAACTATACACAACACTTAATCCAATGAAACTTGGTCCTGTGGAATGTGTTAACACTCTAGAGTCATAGTTATCTTCCTTGTCAACATACGTAAGACAACATGATCAGCAGTGTATGAATATTTTCAGAAACAACTTCATGTGTGCACTTTGTGGAGAGATCTTAGAAGAGGTGAAATCAATGAGAATCCTATCAGGTTAGATTGTATCCACGATATTCTACTATGTTTTAACTGTCAGAATCCCCTAGGTCATTTCAAATAACTTGCATTTCCTTAGTATAAAAGATGACAGAACTATTAGAAAAAACAGAAGAAAAAAGTGCATATGGATGTTGAGCTGGTAAGCTAAGAATGATTAAGCTGGAATGCAAATCCATGTATTAATAAGGTATCCTAAACTGTTTCTGTTATGCCTTGAAGCTGTTTCTAGATTGTATCAGTTATGTTTTTATACACTATTATTTACAAGTAAATTCATAAAGTGCAGGGCATCTTTTATATTCTGATTTTGTTGTGTATACTGTGCATCTCTTCTTCTTAGCATTCACCAGCTGGATACTTTGGTGGAAAGATTTGTTTTGTTCATCCACTTCTGAACTTCAGTCTTATTTCAGAACTTGAGTTTTACATGCACATCCATTTTACAGATCTGGTTTATTGATGTGTAAACAATTGATTCCTCCACTCTCAGGCCGATGCACTTTGATTTCAGTGGAAACACACTTAATTAGTTGCCTTTTACAACACATTTGTTGGGGGGGGTGGGGGGGGGGGTGGGTCTAGTTTTTTTCCTCTAAATGGGGCCCATAGCCTACACAGGGAAGTACTGTGTACAGAAACAAGTAATTATAATTAATTAGTGAAATAAACTCTATTAATTTTCTTAAACTCTAAGGTTAACCACACTGAGGTCTATGCAAACTTTTCAAATGCCCCTCATAAATTAATAATAAAAATTAAGCCTTTTAATTGACAGGTATGCTCAATGCAGAGTGGCAAGCATCACTTATCAGTCCCTGGTAGTTAGCATCCTTGTGGTCTTTTTTTGTTTTTGTTTTGGGTATTCAGGTGTGTTGGGAAAAGAAAAGACAAGCAGACTGGCTGATTCTGCACCACTAGGTGGTGAAATAAGTTTGACAAGCAATTTGTGGTTAAGATCCTTTGAGAGCAAATGAAAGTGCAGAAGTGCAAGTAGATCATTATGGACTGGAGATAGGGTTCAGCTGGAAGGACTAGGGGATCAGGCCAACACTCTGAAGAAAGGCAAGACAGACTCCTGCTGATACCATCAGCATATGAACTCTTCCATGACTGCTGAAGATAGGGATGGAGCACTTATGAGAATGCCCTAAGTGCTGTGATATTGATTCTTAACTCAGCTCAACTTAACTGACAGGCATTTGATTTTGAACTTTTTTACATTTATGTCTCTACCAAGAAAACAGTACAAAAGTTTGCCAACTTGCTTTTTAAAGTCAACACTTACTGAATGAAAACTGATATTTCAACCAAACCTCATCTTAACTATTCTTTCAGTCTAAAATGTTGCTCCAGATCTAACTGTAAATGGCTGAATTCCCTTCCTAAACATACTATTACATGATGTCTCTGTCGTAAAGCACAACAAAGCATCCATTTATTTGACCATTTAGGGTCTTAACTCTTTATTTTTTTTTCAATAAAGCTTAATAATTTCATAAAATGTTATCTTGCAGTACTCACAAATATTTTTTAAAGACTAAATAAATTCTGGGCGCAAACAATGCATTGCACAATTTATTGCCTAGCATACATCATAGCATCTCATCAAATGCATCACTACAGAGTTAATCAACATTTTAAAAAATGAATCCTTTTTGCTGATTACAAAATCACACTGTCATTGTCAAGTTGTACATCTCTACCCTGGAAATTCAAGATATGCAGTTGGATTTGGCATTCATAAAAAAAAATAGTTTCAAGGTGAGAGAATTGGCTTCATTGAACCTGGTTTTTTTTCCATGTGGCTCATTCTCTCCCTACAGAACAGCTGGCTACCCTCTTATTGCATTGGATAAAGCATAGACTTTGTTTTTGTCCAGCAATTGATTCCTCTGGATCTCTTCAAAACTATTTATTTATGAAACAAACAACACAGTTTGAATCTCTAGAAATCTCTATAAACTGAACTAAGTCTCTAAAAATGTTGTTATACAGAAGAAAAGGTTGTATTTAATGGAAACAAAAACAATCAAACACAGGTTCTGAAAAGACTGCAAACGAAAAGAGAATTAGTGAAAAGAAAAAATACTTTGGCCACATTAAAAGACATAATACGCTTGTAAAAATCATACTGGAGGGAAGGTCAAGGACAAGAGACCAAGAGGTAGACGATGATAGGGATGGATAGAGTGTACAATCAAGACAAGAGAAAGAGAATGTCAGAGATCCAATGCAGCCAAAGCCAACTTTCATTGTTGGGAGGGCACCTTATTGATTGATTGACTACAGAATATTTAATTACTTGTTAGGTGAAAATGTATGATATCCCTTTGTGGGTTCCAAGGTTGGGTGCTGGGTTGAGGAGGAGTCAGAGAATAGATCCACTGTGCTCTAAAATTTATGTCATTAAAGTCAACTAATTATGACTGTTTCCTTTAAAGTCTAAGTGCTGCTGCCTGAGAGACGAGGAACCAGCAGTTTGCATATAAATAAGCCAGATCTGTAAAAATGGATGTGCATGTAAAACTCAAGTTCTTGAACAAGTCCAAAGTAGATGAACAACCAGAACTTTCCACTAAAGTTTACCACCGGTGAAAACTAAGAAGAAGAAATGTATGACAGGCCTCAGTGCTCTAAACTGGGACCCTTTAAAAAAATAGAAGTTTGTGTATTTTGTTGTCTAGTCTGTCATGTGTTATCTTGTCCTTCCAGCTAATGCCAATACATAGTTTTCTAGACTTGAACAACTTTTACAGACAAAATTGCCATGGAGGTTATACCTATTGATCTGCACAGTCTGGGAGGCAGAGAAGTTTTTAAGCCAGGATATGGTGAAGCAATTCCAGTATTTGTGAGAGGTAAAACATGAAACAAATATCTCTGCTTTTTATTGCCCATATTATATTTGTAACTGTATAATTTGGTGAGGAAAGCTTGTCCTCAGGCCTGTGCCTCTTTCAAATCATCAGAATTAATCTTTTTTTAACGCTTTAGAAATTTTATGCATTCTTCTTTAAAACCTTATCTCTGAGGTCTGAAGAAATTATTTGGCTTATTTATTAATTGTTCTGTTTGTGTAAGCACTTATGGTGGTTGCCTTATGCTTTTATTGCGTGTGTATGCTAGTGGATTTGCTGAGACAACAGTCTGTCCACAAGGGACAGTGATGGACATTCTGTGTGTTTTTCATTAGCACAGGAGCGGAGCAGCTATCGGGTGACCTGTTTGCTGTAAAGCTGAAACTAAGATTATTAAGATTACTAATAACTGTTCAAGATTCCCAGCCATATCTTAATACTGGGCTGTGTACAATAAGTATTAAATACTATTGTATTAAGCCTATTTCTGTTAGGGGTTTACACCTCAATCTTCTTTTTCTTCTTTTGTTGTCTCCCGGGTTTTTTTTTTTTTTTAATTGTCCAAGACTGGTGACAATTTCAAACTGGTTTATAAAAATGTGAGTCTATCATCATATTCCTGAAACATAACTTGTGTGAGAAGTGTCCTTTACCTTTCATACACAGTGGAACCTCGCTTAACGAGCATAATTCGTTCCAGAATCATACTCGTTAAGCGAAAAACTCGTTATGCGAAACACGTTTTCTCAAATAAATTAATGTAAAATAAGATAATGCGTTCCATGTCGTAAAAAATACTCACAAAATGCTATGTATAACGTTTATTCAAAGAAAATTATATACATGTTGTTAAGGAGAGTGAATCATCTTCATATTTTCTTCAAACGCGAAACGAACCCACCTAGAATGCGAATTTGATTTGCAGAAAAAAGTCAAAATAATTATGAAACATAACTAATAATTTTTTTTACAAGAAAGATGTTCAGAGACATTTGTTTTTGCAGATGCTTCAAAATTAGGCGAAAATGTGACACAGCATTATCATTAAATAAATTTGCAACGCGCATAGCCACTTCCTTATTAGGGTGATGCTTCTCAATGTAAGATGCAACAGTTTGCCATGCTTTCAGCATTTTTCTTATTTCGCCAGAGGATTGTTGCTTTTCTGTTACCACCTTTTCCTCCTCTGACAAACTTTCCTCCAAAACTTCTTGCTCTGAAACACAATGCAACTCCATAAGCTCTTGGGTGGTCAGCTTTTGGCTGTGCTCTTCCACAAGCTCTTCGATATCACTGTTATTAACCTACAAACCCATGATAGGGGCCAGAGACACAATTTCGTTGACTACAAGTTCCACAGGTACCGTCTCGAACCCCTCAAAGTCACAAATCGACAACGCTCTCCGGCCAAAGCTTCTTCCAAGCAGGTCAGGGCTCTCTGGTAACCCCTTCCCCTGCCTTCTCGATCATCTTGAGGCAGGCAACGATGTGGAAGTGAATTTTCCAAAACTCTTTGAGAGTGAGGTTGGTCCCTGCAGTCACCTGAAAACAATGCTCGAAGAGTGCTTTAGTTTAGAGCTTCTTTAAGTTAGAAATAACTTGCTGGTCCTTGGGTTGGAGTAACGGAGTAATGTTGGGAGACAGAAAGTGGATCGTGATAAACTTAAGTTCTTCAGAGAGGTAATCTTGTAAGCCTCTAGGATTCATGTACATATATCACAATATAACACAAGTTTGAGAAAATGTGTGATTGCAAGCGACACGGACTGACTGACTGCCTTTCTACCCCACCTGGACATCACACAGGCGAGAAACACCCGATGACACAATGTGCCACCATGTGGGTGAGGATCACCGTGGAGAGGTCTCAGAAACTGCGTTCAGCCTTTATGCCATATTTATGGCAAGGCTATATGAGCCAGAGTGGGGCTTCAAATAATGAAAAATTCTATCCTAAAAAAGGACGGGGAAAATAATGAAACAGAACACACAAGTGACACTACGATGCTACTGGAATGAGTGCTAAACACAGACTGATGTAAAATGCACACAATTTGGGACTTCCCCTCTTCTCGCCACTCGTTATGCGAAACGTCACTAGTTAAGCAAGTCATTCTTTTACAATTTGTTTTGCTCATTAT